GAAAGAGAGAGAGAGAGACAGAGACAGAGAAAGAGAGAGAGAAAGAAAGAGAGAAAAAGAGAGAGAGAGAGACAAAGGGGCGGACAAATTAAGGGAAGGAAGAAGAGGGATTGAGGAAGAGAGTTTGGGAAATCCACCAGGTGCTTGCCAGTCGTGTTTCAGTGTTTGAAATTGACATATTATTCCTGGAAATTCCGTAACCCACAAACTGGGAACCTTTACCGCTGGTGCCTGGAAAATAAAACCAAAAACCAAAAACAAGCCAGTTTTTTTTTTTTCTAAGTCAACGCCGAAATGCTTTTCGACCGTATTATCTCAAGCGCTTTTTTCCTTTTACATTTGTACGCAATTAAATAATAATTAGCTTTTAAACATTATAGGTTTGTTTAAGAATCAGGACACCTGATGACCAAATGTTAACAAATAAATCTACCCCTTGTTATTCATGATTATCCTCTATTTGTTTCCTCTTAGCGTGGAAATATCTTCTTACTTACTATCTCACATTCTCATAGACAATAGTTGTCTGAAAAGAATAAGCTCATTAACATGGCAACCAAAAAAGAGACGAGGGGGAAATAAAGGACCTTAGATTTAGCGGAATTTGAGACAAAACTAAGCTATGTGTACAGAGATCTTTGGATCTTTGAAAGCTAGTGGAAAATCTCTAGTTTAAGAATAGCCTGCTGAGGACTGGGACCACTTTAATCACGTCATAATATCAAGTGAGGTCAGGTCGCACCTTACGGCACGTGCATCTCTTTAATCCCAGCCACAGCAGTTCATGGAATGTGGGAGTTGAAAACTGACGGAGGGAAAAATAATATTTTCATTTATTTTACGAGTGCAGCAAAGCCAAGGTCGAGCTGATCTTGAAATGTTCCTCAGGTGCAAAAGAACGTTATTATTGAAAGGGGTCGTGTGACGTCACAAGGTGAGCCCGTCCTGTTGCGAATTGAGAACCGATCCGAGGAGGAGGCAAGGGATTCAAGGGAAACGATTCAAGGGAAGCAATTCACATAAAGTAATTAAAGGGATGTCATAAGCAGGAAGTAGTAAAGGGGAAGTAATCTCATTAAAAAGGAGAAGGCATTGTGAAAGGAAATAATAGTTCCCTTTTAATTTTTCAATGCAGGTAAGCTTGTCTCAGCGCTCTGCTTTCTATGCAATGATTAATCCATCCCAATTCTCTTTTCATGCACTCACGTCATTTTTATGAAACTTCTTTCTTTCTTTCTTTCTTTTTTTTTTTTTTACAGTATTCTTTTCTTTTAGCGTCTTTCTCCTCTTTACATTTTGATTTTCCATTTAATTTGAAAACTTTCCTCGTATTATTTTACTTAAGTGTTGGAGATAAATGATACAGCAGAGTGGAAAAACGCAATTAAAGGAAACGATTGATATTGTAATTGCTGATAGGAACGAAAGAGCTCAAACTTCTCGAAATGAAAAGGCTGACTTTTTCCAAACTTAACGTTTTCAGGAAAAATGTTAGCAAGGCAAACGTTCAAGAGACCAAAGTACTTGAGAAGAAGACGGAAAAAGAAACACGGATGAGGAAAGAGAGAAGAAGACCGAGAGAGAAACACGGATGAGAAAAGAGAGAAGAAGACAGAGAAAGAAAAACAAACAAAGAAAAAGAGGGAAGAAGAAGGTACGGGGTTATTAAGCCGACAAGGAAGGAAAAAGAAAGAAGATTTCAAGAAATAGAAAGAAAGAAGAAAAAACAATGTATAGAAAACACATTAAAACAAACAACAACAAAAATATAATTAAGGATATCAAGAGGCACGAGGAAGTAGAAATGAGAGATGGAAAACTGGAAAGATGTTTGTGTTGATAAGAGCAGGTTCTGAGGAGGATAGACAGAGAAAAGCAATATTCTTCTGGTTTTTCTGTTTGTTGCTTAGGATTTTTTTGGTGTTTCTTTTGAGCTTGATATTATGTTTGTATGCTTCTTATTCGTTTTTTGTTTTCAAGGAAGAAGGTGGGGGAGGGAGGGGGGTATGTATGAGTTAATTGAGTTGAGCTGATCGTCACGACAAGGGAGTATTTTTATCAGGTTTGAGTTTATCGATACAGTAAAGGTCATTTCGTGCTGAGGAAAGGCAAGACAAACAGCAAAATTGGAAGAAGATAAAAGAATAGGGGATTTTAAGGTACACCCTCCCACCACCCACATAAGGGGTTTATATGCCTACTTTCTATGAAATGTAAATGTGTTACCAACACAGGAGCAAACAACACCAGAGCACCTAGCAACAACCCACTGGGTTCCAGTTCGAGAACAGAGAAGCTCATAGATACAGTATTAGAATTAAAAACAAACAAACAAACAAACAATCAAACAAAGGGCCGGCAGACAGAAATGAAAAGGAGAGAATAAAGAAACGAAACCTACCAAATATAGCCTCAAACCACCCACAATTTGACATTTCTAGTCGTGCAGGAACTTGTAAAAGTTATGTGACAGCCTAATCCGGCCAAACTTTCAAAAACTAAAGGTTATGCAAGTTAGAAAATGACGCATACTTTTGTTCAAAACATAACACACACACACCCACACA